AATTTTTCTTTTTTTTAATTTCATGTATATGTGTTGTTTTGTTTTATTTTTATATACTATTGACTGATATAGATTGGTCATATATTTACTATTATAATCCTATAGTTATCCTCTACCTATACTGTATACCCTGAATTTTTATCTTTGTGTATATTTATATATATAAATTCAACTGTAGTGATTTTCAACATTTGATTTTCATTTGCACATTACACTTTGTCTCATATATTTCTTTTCATCGCACGTTTACATGACACTGTGTACTAATATATTGTCGGATAACTTTTTATATTACGTTTTCTTTCTTGTATTATGACATATAGAGCTCACCTGAAGGTATAGTGGCTATGGTCTCTCTATACAAACAGGTCAACTCTATATGTCATAATACAAAAAAGACCGCGTAGTATTAAAAGTTATCCGGCAATATATTAGCACACAGTGTCATGTATACATGCGATAAAAAAAAATATATGAAACAAAGTGTAATGTACAAATGAAAATCAAATGTTGAAAATCGCTACAGTTGAATTTATATATACAAATATACGTAAAGATAAAAATTCAAGTTATACAGTATAGGTAGAGGATGGCTATAGGATTATAATAGTAAATATATGACCAATCTATATCAGTCTATAGTATATAAAAACAAAACAACACATAATCATGAAATTAAAAAAAAGTAAAATTCTAAGTCGTACTTTTAATTGTTCGGACTATAAGTAGTAGTGATCACTGTTTATTTAATAAGAAGTTTTCTTTTGTCTTTTTTGCACGGCACGAGAATAGATGAATTTGATTTATTTACATAAGTAATCGATTGAATAAGTATTTTTAGATATTTATTCATATGAACTTATTTGATTTCATCAATTATATTAGTTGTACATACACATTAATGTGTATTGAATACAATAATAATAATCATAAAGTTAAATTGAACTAAGATAAAATCTCTATTCATGAACATTTCCCTACTCTGAACGTAAACATTATTTTTACAATCCCGACTGCTAAATTTAACCTCTTTTAAATAAATACATATGCACCTTTTTTTTTCCTTTCTCCCCTTGTAATGAAAGGAACCAATCATTTTTCGTTTCACTGAGAAAAAAAATTTGGTTCTGATTTCACGCTTAGTAATGCACATACTAACGAAAAAAGTCGATATGAGTTTCTAGCAGTGTTAGTATACTCGAGACATCTTGCATGATTTCTAACGTCTCTGTTGTTTATGAACAAAAGGATTGATTTTACTATCAAAATTTTAACATCAACTAGTGAAGTGATCGTTATTTAATAATTTTCGTATAAAATTTTACACCACGCGTGTTGTGAGAATATAACATTTGACTCAACTCTTACATAATCATAAACGATATCACTTCAAATGAAGAAACTGTTATTCCCGATCCCCGTCCCACCAGGATTATGTTGTACATATCTACCTTCTCCTCTTCATAATTTCTGACTGATGTACAAAAACTTCTGTTCATTGTTTATTATAACTGTACATAACAGAACAAGCAATGAGATTACAACATTATCTTATATTGAATAAAAAAAAAACCTCAATTAATGATTACAACGATATTACGGTCCATCATAGAGTGAAGTAGCCAAAAAATTGAATATTTCACTTGGTGCTGTATTCAATATTTTCATGACCTTCTCCAAAATGGATTTTCGTGAAACTTTCTGGATATGCTTGACTAATGAAAGTACACAAATAACAAAAAAAAACTTTCAAGGCTTCAAACTTTTCTGCTCAGCATATTTTCGGGAGTCATACTGCAAAATAGGTCTTTCACGTGTAAACTTTTTTTTATGCATCAAGCTACAGCACTCTACACACTCTCATTTCAACGAGAATTTCTTACCACTTCGGATGAAGAAAAGAGTTCTTTTTATTTGATTTTGATGTTCCCAAAATCTTAGGTAATGCTTTCTAGAAAATTCATGATCATGTTGATATCAAGGGTTGAATAAGAAATTTCTTTCCCTCATCCGAAACGGAATGCATCTATCTATCGAAGAAAAAAAACGACAGTTCACTAGGGCGAACATTGTTGAAAAGAAATTTGTTCGAAAGTCGACAATTTACGCAAAAATTAATCTCTAGAAAGACGCGCGAACATCTTTTTTGTATATTTACGTGAGGAACTTTCTCACACGAGCATAAAATATAATTATATTATGTGCCAATTAAAAATTCATCTACCTCGGTCGATCATTCCGACTGTCTGAAATGCATGATTCCTGCCCTAAACGATGAAAAATAACCACCGTTTTTCACCGTTTTCCGTCAGTTTGGATTACGGGTCGTTTTTCCTCGAAATGTAAACGATGCCGTTTAAGGTGGTTTCCGGCGAGTAACGATGAATAGTATCAGAAACACATTCTCGCCGTATAGTGTCTTATTTACACCTTTTCTTTTCTCGTTTACGACTCTGTTTATCTAGTGCCCTTGAACGAGCATTACGACAGTTGTTAACGGTCATTTGTCATTATATTCGCATAAATATCTCCTCAGTGAAGAGGAATACGATTTTTTTTTCTCTCCTTCTCACCTTCCGTAAACACAAGAAACAAAATTGGTTTATTTAAGTAAAATATTTACTATTGAACTAGACGGCGAAAGGAATCCGAATAAAAATATATTATTAATTTTTTTTAGTAGACAATGATCAATTGGTTATAGACTATCAGAAAGTGTCTAATGATGATTTTAAGACACTTATGTTCAAATGATAAAAACTAGTGCGAAACGGCAAAAGAACGGTGGCCGTAACGAAAGTTATTTCCGCTGGTATGTAAACGATCATTGTAACGACAGTCGTTTTTCGTTGTTTATGAGCCATTTTTACGACATGGACCGAGTGTTATCAAGTAGCCTTGTAGCTACATGTTCGACTATGATAAGGAACCGTTACTGCAGTAGCGCTTATAATTTTCTTATGGTTTTAGGTATTAGCCTTTCCGTTAGAGAACTCTAGAAACTCATGATGATTTCCGAAGAAATCTTTTAAAATCGAAAGTCGTTCTTATAGATTTTCACCGTAGGAGCCTATTTTAAATGATTATCCAATAAACCAAAAATAAAAGTATTAAAGAAAAATTCAAAAAATTTTGACGTAATATAACTGCATGAATTGTACAGCAACATTCATCCAATTTACATATATCGAGACCGGAGCAATGATATAGGACTTTAATGAAACAAAGGCAAAGTTTTGTAGTCTGTTGAAAATTTTTCAGATTCATACCTATTCAAATGAAAGAAGATAAACAACACATACCATAACCTCTGGCTGCTTCAAAACTAGTAAAGAAGCCTATATTCTGAAACCTTTTTTTCATTTCGCGATGTGACTATTATCGAAGAGAAAATATATATTCCTAGACAAAGTGACAGTTACAGAATAGATAGTCACCATTATCTTAAACGTCGACGAAAAATGAAAATGATTTCTAGAGATTATTCTTAATCATGAGTATTTGATGTCTGGAGAAACATTTTCTATACGCAAGACAGCGCTTGACTAAGACTAATTTAATAGTATCTACGAAGCTTTGCTTGAAAAAGTGATATTATCTAGACCTAATAGAAGTACTAGGACTTCTAATACGGTAGGGAATCTTCTCTTTTTGGAAGTAGTTTATAAACAAATGATTTTAATTAAGGTGATGAACGTGTGAGATATAACTTCGTCGATAATTATAATTTTTAACTTCAATACTTGCTAATATCAAAATTTAATTAACTCAATAATATAGATTATTCCAAAAAAAAAATGCATTTTCATTACGCTCTTCTGAGACAAACAATAATTTTCCAAAATTCAAAGCATCTAATCTTTTCAATATATATGAGGCTTTGTTTAATTAGTATTCTTAGATATGTTTTGATTTTGAAAATTCGAAATTTATCTGTAATTCAAGAAATAGTAAAATAGAAATTTTGTGTTTAACATATAATCGACAGGCTGAAAGTTTTGCGACAAAAAAAATTGTTTATATTCGGTGTCCTTAAAAGTATTTTCGATTGGTCAAGAACGATTGAATTAGAGCCAGAATTTTGTGTTTTTTTCGAATTGTAGGCTAAGAAATTGTTTGTATCAAGTTTTGTTTAAGACTAATGCGATTATCTCTGAATAGTCGAAAAAATTAGTTTGAACATTGTTGTAGTTTCACTATCCCGATTCTGACGTACCATTTCAATTTTCATTTTTCTGAAATTGTCGTTTTGAAAAATCAACTTTTTGATCAAAAACAAAATGTTTTGCGTAAGACAGAGCGTTTGACAAGGTGTCTATAGTTTCACTTGAGTTAAAAGCTACAATCGATTACACGGCTGACTTCGTCAATTTTTAACACTGATTCTCTCACTATTTTTGAACAAAAAGGAACACAATATTTCTAAACCGATATTTAAAGAGAACATAAAATTCTAATCATCATTCATAGTTTTTGGTCTGTCTAAGATACTTTTAAGCGGAGCAGAATGTGAAAAGATTTGTCTCAGAAACGTCTGTCCACATGCTTCATTCAAACTTTCGTTGATTGTCTCGCTAGTGTCAAACAAAAATGAATACAAATTTTGAAGCTCATATTACGAAAGTGAACAAAATTCTAGCTCTAACTCATCAAAAACACTTTCAAGATGGTGAAAAATGAACAAACACTTTATCTTTAGAACCTTCGGCTCATACGTTAGTTTTTTCCAAAATAGAAGTCCGAAAATTCCCACATCAATTTGAAGAATATTAAAAAAAACGTATGTTTATTGATCAAAAAAATTAGTAAAAAATAAATCATAATGCAATTTTAGACGAAGGCAATCAGCAGATTTCAAGCCTAACGTCTCCACTATTTCCTTCTCGATCATAGGCGAATAGAATATATAAAAATCAAGACTTTATAAAAAAAATAAAAAGATGAACTAGATGTATAATTCAAGAATATGATAAATTGAAAGAGAGAATAAATATGATTAATTATAGTCCAATTGAATGCATTGCATTTGTAGTTTTGTCAACAAAGTACTATAATGAACGCAAAAAGTGAACATATGATAAGAAAATTGAATTAAAGAACTTACACGAGCTTCATCAATATTTCGATATTTAACCAATTTTCCAGATGGTCGATTTCCATCAGACCCACCAGTATTTTGAGGCTTTTATTAAAAATTAGAAAAGTGGATTTATATTTACATTTGCAAAATAATCTTCAATTAAGGATTTGTCAAAAAGTTTTTCACATAAAAGATTTTCTCAAGAGTGCTCTCCCTTCCGAGTCTTCCAAAGAACGACTCATCAAACAAATTTAAAATTTTCATGGCAGTAAATAGAGCGAAAGTTGTCATAGATTCAAAGTTTCCGGATGTTATCTTCTATGCAATGCTGAGCTCAGAATGACGACAAATAACTTCTCTTTTTTCCAAGATACTATTTTCGACCGAACTGAATACTTCTTTTACAGATACTAGACAGAATTTGCAGTCGATATCTTTTTATTTTTTGTCCTTCAAATAAAAATGTCCAAATATTGAAGATACACACTAAAAACAAATGATTTTTTGAATAGTGCTATTTTTGTAAGAGCTACCAAAAATCAACAGAACAATATTTTTTCAAAACAAAAAACAATACACATCATGAAAGATGCATAATATATGTGAAAAAAGTTTCAGTTAGCTTAGTCGTACTAAGTCGAAGAAACAAGAGTGTTTCTACACTTTTTTTTCATGAAAAATTTGGCTTAAGAAAAAACGAGATTTGCTATTATTGTTACGTAAATTTGGTTTCTTCTCGAATTTTTTAACGTCTTAAAACAACTTTTGGATCTTAAGAATGTCCTCAGTAGATAGATACTACTTCAGACTATAGAATAGCCACAAAAATTTTTAGTCACGTAATGGGGGGGTACCTTTTATTTCAATCTTTAGGTTTTCTTTTTTACAAAGTTCATTTGATAATAAGAAATCAACACATAAAATTCTATTTCATTATACTATCTTATTTCCTTACTTTAACTAAAATTTGAATTTTATTTTTATCACGTATGATAGTGGGTATTTCATATAATTCTACATAACTTATTGTCCAATCAACCTCATAAGTACCAAGAATTGAAATTTCTGTAACAAATAAAATACGTCTAACATAAAAAAAAAAGAACAAATTTCGCAGAAATCTTGAAAAAAAAAACAGAAGAATTTTACTTTGAAGTAGCCATGAGCCAACTCATTGGACTTTCTGAACATGTAATATGAGCAACATATGTATCCGTCTTTGCATATCGTCTATCTTCAAGTCGCTGAAATTAGAAGAGAAAACTGATAAAAGAAAGACAACATAGAATTTTTTTTTATTTTACATTTAAAATATATAAACCCATTGCTTCATGAGGGATATATGGACGAACAAGACCATCACGACCAACATGTCGTGGATATCGAACACGGCGAACAATTTGTTCTTGTGTAGCCGCACTACAAGAAAAAAGAAAAAAAAATCATTGTTCAATATAACTGTCATTTCTTATTGTACCGTTTAACTACATCAAGTGAAGTACTAGCGAAATCAACAATACCAGAAGCGGGTTGTGCTACGAGACCTATTAAACCTTTTCCTAAACCTTTGACAAAACCTGATGCACCACTTCGTGCTGCGCCAGCTACTGGTTTTTTAACGACACCAGTTACACCATTGACAAATCCCTATTGATATAGATTAAATATAGATCAATATTTTAAGATAGGATGGGTACGTGTGTAACTGTTTAAATGATGAGAAGGCTAGAGTACACACTCACAACAGAAAAAAAAATTCATTTTGCGCAAAAATATTGGTCAATCTATATCTCAACTATGTTTTACCATGACTACATTTTTTCCACCGGCAGCAATATCCGTAATGGCATGGGCTGCTGGTTCTCTACGACGAATACGTGAAGCTTTGTATTCTTCATCAAATGTAAGTTTTGCTAAACTTTGTCCAATTACACCAGTTATTCTTGAAGCTGCACCAGCAGCAGTACCAGCAGTTGAGCCAACCAATGTTAAAACACCAGTAGCCATACCTTCGGCAAATTCCAATGGACCTTCGATTGCACCCTAAATAATTTGAATTAAATAATAAACAAAATAAAAAAATAAGAATAAATGAAACTAACTTTGTATGGTTCATAAAATAATGATTCTACTCCTTCAGCTATACCTCGAATGATACCAAGTGGATTACCTAATACATCCAAACCGAGTATAAGAACATGAATTTGTTTAAAAAATTGATTTTGATAATGTGCTGATACTTCATTTGTTAATTTAGTTACAGTAAATCGATCAAATGATCTTTCATAGAAACCCAATCTAATTGTTCATGCAAGAAAAGTAAATTCAATGGACTTGTACTAAACAAGATTTTTACCTGAGAATAACATTTTTCACTTCGCCGACATTCAATGTTCGTAAAAGAAATCTAACAAGTGGATATTCAGCAAATAATTCATCATTCGATTTTAATCCATGCATTGAAAAACTAACATGAATCTATCGTATGAAGGAAAAATGAAATTAAACAAAAATAAAAAATCTATATGAATTTTAAATAGATACTTTAAGTGGTGATAAGTGAATATTGTCAAAGTACATTTGTGTTTCACCCGCTGGAGTATCAGTTTGTACTTTAATAATAGCTCGAAGTGAATTGTGAGTATACTCTAAATCAGTATCCATATTGATCATCGGTGTTGTTGTATTCTGTAATAATATTTAATTAGAAAATATATCAGTCAGTCTTTCATTTTATTGAAAGAAAAGGTGAGGCACGATAACTGATGAAATCGACTCTCTACATAAATATAATTTCTGTGATATTAAATTCTCATTCAAGGTATCCGAAAGTGATGCTTGGTAGAATTAGACTTATAACAATTGTTTCTGCTGTGTTTAATTTGAAGATCAACCAGATTAATATTCATACGGCTCAATAGCGCTTTTCAACGGCTTTCAAATCGTATAAAATTATCACGGAAAAAACACTGGTCATACAAAGAAATCTCAAAGAGGCTATTCGCGAGATATATTTTTTTTCCCTGATATTTAGTAGATTTCGATTATAAAACTACAATTTAAATAAAAACTAATATGATATTCTCAATTAGCATCCAAAACTGAGTGGACATTTACGTGTATTTCAGAGATTTTAAAAATTGACTTCGGTCTCCTTCAGGATTGGATAAAAAAAATGAATTTCATCATAGCTTCAAATAGCCGATGAATAAACAATAAAAATACAATTATCATGAAATCATTTTTTGATCTAATCCTCAGAGGTCAAGAATGAACTTTTCGACAAAAAGACAAAGATTGAAAAAATCTTGGAAATATATATATAAGTTCAGTCAATTTTATATGCTGATTTGAAATATCATATTAGTTTTTATTCAAATCTTGTTTTTCTAATAGGAGAATCTCCTTTTTTTTTTTAAAGATTCATTTCGTATGTACATCAGATCCACAAAAGAATAATTAATCTTGTAGAAAGTAAAACAAACCTTTTCTTGTCTAAGAAAAGCAAGAATAGCTAAAATTAAACCTTGATCAATTTGAAGTACAAATTCTTGAATAAGTAATTTACAATATCTAAATCATTAATTAATATGTTTGAATATTTATTTAAAATAAATAACTTACTGAAAATGCATTATATTTGATTGTGATGCTTTCGATTCGTAAATACTCAATTCAATAAATGGTTTTTCAGCTAGAATAAATAAAAACAAGTGAGTATTTAATTTTATAGTATCTTTTTTTTTTATAATTATAATCTATTACTAATATCAGAATCTGCTGTTTTAGATAATATTGGATAAAGAATACTTGGAAAATTAGTATATTCTAGTTGATTATCAATTTGAATATGATTAATACAAGCATAAAATGCTGCATTAGTCATTGACCATGTATATTCAATCCATAATCCATTAAGTGATTGTCGTTTAGCTAATTTATGTTCACCTTTTTGATTGACTAATTTAGCAGTATTTTCATAAAAAGTAACTTCCTATTAAAAATTGAAGAAAAGAAATTCATAAAAATAAAATAATAATACAAAACAAGAAACATACACGATAGTCACCCATATGATATTTCGTTTGACGAAGAGTTTCATCATTTGGATTTGTTTCTATTAATTGTAGGTTTATTCTATACAATTCTTCTAATTGTGTATGTATATCATGTGAAAATGGTTTCATTCCAGATTTTTTTATTTGAACCCAAATAAGTTTTGATTTTTTTAAACTCATATAAAGAAGTTCTTCTCGTCTAATATCATTTACAATTGATAGACCAACATTAGGCATGCCAAGTTGAAGACGTCGACATATAGATTGAGTTGAAGATGGTATCTATGTCGGATAAATTCAAACAAAAAAAAATTATTTAAAAATAAATCTTCGTGAAGTATTTAATTCTTTTCTATCTAAGTTAATTTACTGGTCAAATACTCTTCGATAATTTGATTTTCTTGTTTATTTATTGTTGAAATATACTAAAGAGGAAACATATCCAACTGTCAGATGCCGTTCGACTTTACATTATGACTACGAGTAAGTCTCGGTGAGACTAAGAAAAACTTAAAAGGATTTTTAGCTCATTATCTACTATTGAAAAGTTATGACCGTTTTAATGAAATTCTTACTGAGAGCAAGTCATTTCTGGAAATCTAAAAAAAAAGAGGATTCAGTTGAAATTATGCCTATAGGTGTGTTTAAAGGTCATTAGGGTAATCTTGGATAAACCGCTGTGTTTGTAGATATTGAATATCTCGAGAAAATCATGTTTGTTTTGGGATTCTTTGAAAATGCCCTGCCCTCAATAAAACTTTCATTTAAATGACTATGACACTTCAATAGTAGGCTATAGGCTCAAATCCTTTTAAGGTTTTCTTAGTTTTATCAAGACCTACTCGTAACCATAATGTGAAGTCGAATGGTGTTCGATAGTTGAATATGTTCTCTCGTAAATTTTTCAGACAGTGATCAAAGCAATAGACTTTCATAATAAAAAGCTGTTAGTGCAATTCCTATAGGATTAAAATATAGCACACGATGTAGTTGCTTTTGCTAATTGTAGGGAGATTATTTTATTCGATCTACCTTGGAACATATTTTTTCTGCCATCCTTTTACTTAGTCCTTCAAAAATGCAGTAAAAAAAATGTAGTTCATACATTATAACAAGACGATATTGATATACAGTTTGTGAGGAGAGAAAGGTCCAAAATTCTTACTCTTATACTTTCGCATTCCTGTTAGATTATAGATGTGCAATTTCAGTGAATGATTCACCGAAAACTCATACTGACGTTCACTAACAGGTGGACCGTTATATGGACAGGCTCGATTATTTTTAATTCTAATGTAGTTTAAGCTCAATGAAGAAGTACCACAACTGACATTGATCTTTCAACTTTATCTTGTGACTATAAGTGGGTTTCAGTGAAAATAAGATTCCGAGATATAGTAAACGCTATGACGGAATAGGATTTCATTTTGGTTTTTCATTTTTTTCAATTTATTATCTATATATTATCTTAATAACTTGAAAATGAAAATATGTCAAACAAATCACATTACCAGAATCTTTGAATTATTCCACTTTAAAATTTTTAACTCTATTGAATTATAAAATTTCAAAGCTATGATAATAAATAGTTCAAGTCTCTAACAGTTTCTTTAATATACTAAAAAAAATTAAAATGATGCAACACTTAAGTCAAATAGGAAAAAAAAACAGATAGTTTAATGTTAGTCTCTCTTCATTATATAGAAACAAACTGAATAAAAAACAAACTTTCACAATATTGAAAATTTCTATGATGGATCTCTAGATATTTATTAATAGGCCATCTGTATTGAACGAATTTGAGAATAAACGAATGTTAACTAATTTGACAATGTTATTTCGATCTCATATTTTTAGTTAAAATCGAAATTCGGGAGCTGCGGTCCACATTTCTATGAACACGGATCCGAGAAAAGTTAAACTTCTAAAACTCGTCCTGGATCCACAGCTCTCTAATTGAAATGCTATTATTAAATATCTCAAGAACGAACAGTCATAAACATGAATTATTTTAGAGTTTTCCTAATCTCGCTAAAATCTAATTTTAGCCAGAAGATAAAGTTGAAATACACTGAGGTACCTTCCATGTAAGCTTAAATTGTTCGAAATCTAATGACAAGTAGTTTATGTATTAGAATTCAAAAATATTGCTAATATGTTAACATTAATAAATTCTAATGTAATATAATACTAAAGCATTTGATTTAATTTTAATACTAATTCTGAAATAATAAGACGAGGAAAAAAAAGTCGTTTATATTTATTTTTTAATAACGAAGAATTACATAGTTAATGATTCACAGTAAACGTTTATAACATTGAATTATTTTAGAAGAACTATTTCAAGAAATTTTATTCATTATAATACATTTAAATACTTACATTTAATGTAGCTTCAATAATTTGTTCATCACATGAGAAAAGTAATACAGTTTGAACACCATCAATGAATACAATATACTTGACAGTATGATAATTTTCATTTATATCAAGATCACCACGATGAGGCTATACAAAAAAAAAGGAATCATAATATATAATTATAAGTTCTACAAAACAAATTCATGAAATTCTGCTGCAAAGAAAAGTGCTAACTTACATTAAGTTCAATCGTTTTTGATTTGTCATTGCAAGTAATAATCATTTCACGTGGTTTTAATGGATCCATCCATGTATAATAGACAAAATATTGTGGTACTAAATATTGAATTTTCCTATAATTAAAAACAAAATCTTTTAGTATTGCAATATTCGAAAGAAAAAAGAAAGTTGACTTACATATCATCCTTTTGAACAAATGAAATTAATTGATCATCTGTATGATTGATAAGTAATACGGGTGCATCAACTTGTTTATAATCACTAAATATCACTCGAACACCATCAAAATCCGTGGCAATAACTTCTACAAATATAACTAAACGTTCTGTATCATTCATATACAGTAATGTATGATGTTTTTTATTCATTGAAAATGCTTTCGATGTCTTTTGATTATGTGCATAACGAACACGCATTAAACCTTCTTTGGCATTTTGTGGCCAAAATGGAATAACCTATAGGTATACATCAATGATAAAATATGTTTATATTTCTATAGAATTATATATACTTCATCACATTCCACGAAAATCCATTGACTTTGTTCTTTATCCCTTAAAGTTTCAACAATTTCAATAGGAATCTAAAGAAGAGATAAAAAGATTTTTTCATAGAATAAAGAATCAAATCATCATACTGAAGTTTGATTAATAATAACCATAGCTGGTGATAATGTAACAATTTTTGTTAAACCAAATGAACTTGTTGTTATATCAACACAAATCTATACAAGAGAATTTATTTAATTTTAACTTATATATATACTACAATAAATATCGAAATTTAATCTAACATATTCTCAGGAATACTTGAAAAATTAATTTTTGAAATTTTACATAGAGATAGATCTTAACCAGAATAGTTTCTTGTAAAAACTTTACGTCTTTTAATTTGTTCCTATCATGAAATAATAATATTGAATCTATTAGAATGATATAAAAGATACGCTATTATCATAGCCATATCTTAAGATGGGAATGACGAATTTTCACAATTAATTATTAAATTTAAGGTCTATGTTTATGCAAAATATTAAGTTGAAATTCGAAAATCAATTTTTCCCCATGTTCGTGAAGAGAACCACGGCTTTGATTTAAAAAATACAATAAAAAAGCAGTTATAAGCTAACAGTATAAGCTATTGTCCGTATATTCATAATTCATTAGGCACTATATGATGCACATTGTCTGGATTAGAGACATACGGAATCAATTTTTTGTTTTGATTCCGTACATCCCTAGTCCTAACTCAAAAATGATTAATATTGGAAGACTTTGTTGGAAATTTTTATTTTAATTCTTCAATAATTTAGTGAAAATTATCATTCGTTATTTAGAAAAACAATATTCTAAATTCGATTGATTTAGTTGCAATTTCTTCAATATTAATTTTCAATGAATCAGTCAACAACGAAAAAACAAATTCATTTTTTACTAGGAAAAGTAATTAATATGAATTGGTGATGCTAACATGTCGAATTTTAAGTTATGATCAAACATTTTAAAGAACTATAAACTTTCGCATTTTTTTTAAGCTAGAAAATATAGTTGTGAAACTCGTTTTTTTTTTCTTTTCTATATTAAAAAATCAATCACCATATATGTTTTATCATTGGGTCCTTTACAGTTAGCCATTCCAATACTTTTGATAACATGAAGTGAAAATTCTTCTGACCAATATTTCATTGAATCATTTTGTGTTACACCATACAATCGAATTTGACCCTAAGAAATAAATCGAGAAAAATAAGTTAGACTTATTCAATTGACATTATACTTTTTCACTGGTATCATTTGTATATTTTTCCGGGCAGACAAGGAATGAATTTTCAATATTTTTAATCAATATTCTATCGTTACCGATCTAAATATAAAATTATTTGTAATTATTAAACGAAAAAAACAAAAGAATAAATACAAATACAAACTTGAAATTCAAGTTTAAGATTGGTATGATTAACAATCCAGAATGGTGCATATAATGATAAACGATATGACTCATGAAATAAATCCACACGTAAAGCCATTCGCTAATAGAATATATCAAATTAATATGAGAAAGCTTTTTAGTGTAGTCTCCCATTGAGACTAAAATAGTGAAAAATCTCTTGCAAAGTACAGTTATTTTCTAAGGACAATCGATCATCAGGAAAGTAATCTGTCTTAGTTATTTCTGCATTTCGACTAGAATGTTTTTGGTTACCTTGTTACTAATCGTTCGTTGTTTTTCATTTTTTCGTAATTTAACATTATTATTATTTTAACTATTGTTGTCCATCGGGCTGGTTCCGACGAGCTCTATCCTATGCTGTACATCTCTAGCGAATAAGCTTTTTGTACACATCTCTTATATATCTTGATAGTGCGTCTTTTTCCGTTACTAAGGAACTCTGAGAAAAAAGTTTATGGCGCAAAACATCGACTTAAAATTTACATTCACAACATTTTTCTTTCAAAAAAAAATGTGAGTTCCATAAAAACTAATATATTTAAATCTTACTAAAATTTGCTGTTTATCTGTAGATGTAGCATTATGAAAAGTAATAATTTGTTCACTAGGATCATTTCTTTTTCGTATTCCTAAATCAATAGGATCTGAAATCCATTTAATTTTATTGTAAAATGGAATCTTAAACAAACAATTAAATATATATATATATGTAAGAAATAATTTAATTAAACATACAATAAATCTAAGTATAGAATTTTTGCCACCAGATGTAATTAATTGTAATTGACTTGGTTTCAGATAAATTTCTTCAATATTCTATTCAAAGGTATGATATATAGTTACTTAACAAAAAAAAAACAAAAATTTTACTACTATTTACATTAATCGAACATTGAATATCAATTGGTAAAAGATTTGTTAGATGAATAGTTGAATGAATATAAATACTGTATGAGTTTCGTTCAAGTTGATCTGTATTTTCTAAATAAGCTTCTTTTATTTCTCTATATACCTATTAAACAACAAATTTGAATAGAAATAAGATTTTTTTTTTAAAACTATGATATATACAATTAAATGATTTGCTTTGCCATTTTTTAATTGTAATTTTTTCTCTAGAGTCATTGTCGTTATCCAATGGTATTCAAAAAAGTCACTGATTGATCCATCCGGATCATTTCTTTAAAAATATATATACATATATACAGTTCTGAATCAAAATTACGTGAAGAAGATATTTTTGATTTTTTTTTTCTCTGATGTTAAATATTTGGTTTAAATCCAAATAGTAATTTGAATATTTAATGAAATTTTCTAACGAATACTTTCCATAACAAGATTTTATAGATGAAGAATGAGAGTAGAGTTTTTGAACAACTGAAAACTGGAGCTTGCCAATCATAGACGGCTTTCTGGAAATTATCTTTTAATAGTGTCATCACAAAAACAAAAAAAAACACAAACTTTATCAAAACAAAAAAATCGTCGTAGTGATGTAACCTGACGGAGCTCAACTCTTCTTATCAATGATCTGAAAGCTCCCGTTTTCAGTTGTTCTAAGATCCTATCATCATTATCCATCTATAAAATCTTGTCATAGAAAGTATTTGATAGACAACTTCATTGAATATGCAAATCATTATTTAGATTTGAGCTTATATTGAGTCGTTTCAATAAGACTAGAAAAAGTTTACAAGAATTCGTGCCCATGGAGCTTTCAAAGCCGCTGTTCACAATAAATACTTAAAAATGGATCGAAAGTCATTAAAATGGTCATAACTCGATTCCAGCAACTCATAGGTACGAACCCTTGTAAACTTTTTCTAGTCTTACCGAGATATCTTTTTGATCTCAATAAGAGCTCAAGTGGTAAGATAGTTCCTTCGTCAGCATCAGAGAAAAAGAATCAATAAAAAATATCTTGTTCTTATAATGTTGATTCAGTATATTATCTATTCTTATTTCATACTCATCAACACCAATAGAAATTGATAGATTCGAACTTTTATAAAAAAGATTAATAGGAACATAATAATATTCATTTATTCCAATTCGATGATAAGATTTTTCTGTATTTGAATTAAAATCTAGAATAGCTATTGGTAATGTTGTATTATTATATATCTTAAATTAAACAAAAGAATAATAATAATAATTATTATTATTATTATTTTAAAACATCATCAAATAACAAACTTTGATAATAGAACTAAGAATAATACGTCGACAATTATTATGTATTTGTGTATCACAAAGTAATTGAATTGGAAAAAATGGAATAAATGATGGTTTTAAATCATATATACGTTGCCATGTTCGATTAATATTTATTAATTTAATATGATCATCAAACTAAATTTTACTATTAAAAAAAAAGAAATAAAGGAAAATCAGAAAAATTTACTTGAACAGAAAATTCTTGTCGCTTTTTAAAAGTTTGTTCTTCCATAACAGAAAGTCGATAAGTTGATGATAATCGTTCAACAGGAGCATTTAATGAAATTGATTCATTTTGTTTCATAACTTTTGACGTCCATGTTATATCATCAGTAAACTTAAGAATATCAAAAGAAAAACAAAACAATTAAATCGAATTTTATTTTTCATTTTTGATAATAAAATTACTTCGAGACCATTTAGATTATCAATGAAAATATCTTGCCCTGTTAAATTTACTAATGATAATAATGATTCATTTTCATTAAAATTTTTTGGTAAACGTTGATTATAAATATCATTAAATAAAGATGATAAATTTTGAATAAGTTCAAGACCTGTTTTCGTTATAGTTATATTTAATAATTGTTGAGTTCCAATTGATATTAATTGTTTAGCATTGAGACCAGAAATTTTCTTTTGTTGTTGTTGAGTATGTGTTGATGATGATTCAAGACGATCAGAAATCGGATATATCTAAATGAATATATATTTTCAAATCATTATTTTTAAATAAGAATCCAAAGATTTTTGTTTTGAGTTTCATCTTTCATAAGAATATGTCAAATAGATATGTTTGAATAGAAAGAAAAAATTAATAAAGTATTAGATCATCGAATGAATTGAATTTGTTTTTTTTTTGTATAGATAAATTAGAAGTTCAAAAAAATAAATTCGAAAAATATTATTTGATATGAAAAAGAAAAACATCAAAACAGTTGTAAGACTTACAGGTGTAATTGAACATGTAATATTCCATGGTGAAAGATGTCCTGTATTTTTATCAAGTGTCGGTTCAATAAGAGGTTCCCATGCAAGCGTATGTTCATTGTATAAAGCTGCTTCAATATTCATTGTTAATGAAGCAGTCATCTGAAATAATAAATAATATGTATAAAGTGATGGAAAAAAGTTTAGAAACAACGATTTTTTTGGTTTTTTTCATAATGTTAAGCACGTAGCTCCAATTTAAATAGTGATGTTAATAGCCAATGGAGTTTTCTATTCAATACACTTTATAGTAAGATTTCACAGATGAACAATGATGGCAAGGCTTCTAAAAAACTGAACACGGTATTTTTCAGGTTCTAGAAGAGTTTGCCAGAGCTATTTTTGAACAATGCTATCTTAAAGAGCACAAAATTCTGAGCAAAGCGAGGAATTGCCGAGTTTTCTACGAACTTCTCATAAAAAGTCACAAGCATCACAAAAATCATGAAAAAGGCGTTTTTAGTCGATTTTAAAAAAACTTCGTTTTTCCATGATTTTTGTGATGCTTGTAACTTTTTACGAGAAGTTGGTAGAAAACTCGGTGACTCCTCCTTTTGCTCAGAATTTTATGCTCTTTAAGATGGCATCGTTCAAAAATAGCTTTAGCAAACTCTTCTAGAACCTGAAAAATTCAATGTTCAGTTTTTTAGGAGTCTTGCCATCATAGTTCATTTGTGAAATCTTACTATAAAGTGTACTGGATAGAAAACTCCATTGGCTATTAAAATCACTATTTGGATTGAAGCTACGTGCTTAACATTATGAAAAAAACAAAAAAAAATCGTTGTTTCTAAACTTTTTTCCATCACTTTATATACATACTAACAAATTTTGATAAAGATCACATACCTGATCAGACCAATTTTTAAGATCAACTGTCCAATTCGATAGACACATAGCAACGACTGGTTTCGTTACTAAACCAAAACCAACATCAAGTTTTATTTCCATAGTTGTTAATGTTAAAACAAGCTAATTGAATAAAAGACAAAGCACATTAAACAAAACAATTTGAATAAATTATCTATATACTTGTTGGGAAAGACAACTTTCTTCTTTCTTCTTCTTATTTTCAATAAGAGAATTTTTCTGTGATGGAAGATCATTAATGTCTTGTAAATTTTAATCGTCAGTTTACTATATTAAAAAAAGTCAAATGAAATTCTACCTTGTAAATACCAAAAATCAGATTCGTTAATTGGTTTTGGCTTAAACATTGTTTGCATATCGAATTTTTCTTGTTTATTCGTTGGCTAAATAATATATAAGAATGTTTTAATTATAATTATAAACAATATATATATATATATCTACCTCATGTTTACTTAATGAACTAGTAACACCAATAAGTATACGAGCAGCAGCTGGTGTAATATTAATAATAATATGTGAAAAACGAATATCAATTTTTTGTTGTTCTAAATCGATAATTATTGATAGATCAACTTTTGTTGGTTGTAAAATCTAAGAAATAATAACACTCAAAAAAACAACAACAAGATATATTCGCTCATTTTTTTTTACTCGATATTTAACTTTCGAAGATTTCAATTCAGCAAATTTCGAACTATAGATAGTTAAATCATTCAATGCACCAAATAAGTTCGTATTATCTCCAATATTAAGCGCACGTATATCAAGAGCAAACTAAAATTTAAATAGAATAATTTTTATTATGATTTATCACATATATATATATTATTTACATTGAGTACAAGACAATTTGAATTAGAATTATGTTGATCTTCAAGTAGAATTATTTCAGGATTTTTAACAAGTATATCAATTCTAGTTTCAACATTATTATTAGTAGTTTCAATTGAAGATAATGTAGAGGTTGTCATTATTATTTCTTGATTTTTTGATTTATTTTTATCATCTATTGGTATATTTGACATGAAAAAATCTTTTAATATTATCAAATAATCTAATTTAATACAAATATAAAGACTTTCCAATTGAATATTTACTATAATAACAAATCGAAAAGATATTTATTAATAATTTATCAAAATTTATTTACATCGTTGTTGATCGTTTAAACGTATTGAATCTTTTGATTTAAATTCTAAACTAGCTATTAGCATATATGCATTTGGATCAACAGTAAAATGTCGATCCATCATATGTGTAACAGTATCTGTTTTATGTGTTTCTCGTAGATCATCAAATAGAAAATTTTTTACACGTGCTATAACTTTATAACTTGAATCTGAATGTTGTCGATAGATAACTTCGAATATATTGATTTCTACCTTAACTAATTTCAAATTTTCTTCATGTTTTACATGACGATTAATCTATATTCAAATATATGAAAATGAAGTAATTATAAGAAAAAAAAAACAAACCAAATTCGATTCACCAAGATAAAGTGTAAGTGCAAGTTTTTTGATTTCAGCATGAACTTTAATTTTTTCAAATATTTCACCAATTTGCCATGCTGAAACAAAAAATAAATAAATATTCTTGATATCATATTTTCTGTTATATTCATAATAATAGACTCAGAAAAAGTAGATTATTTTTATGATTTGAATAATTTCTAACTATTAAAATTATCGAAACCTGTTTGTTTTTTAATAACAGCATTTCGTAAAGCATCTTCTTCTTGTTTTTGTTGTTCTTGTTGATAACGATATTGTTCACGAATAATATTTGTTATTGTTTGATCATTAAAATTTTCCATTAAAATTTTCATTACACATAAATAATCATCTTTAGCTAATTGAAACTGAAAGAAAAAAAAAAGAAAGGAAAATGAATTCAATTATAATTATTAAATAATTTACATGAATAAGATCCCATTGCATGTTAACAGAAATATATGCTGTAAATTTTATTTTTTCAGGATATAAAAGTCTATTAATATCGATTTTTAAATTTGCACATTCGAGTAGAATTATTTCATTTTCTATTTCATTATTATTTTTATTGAGTTTAACTCGACGAGCACGAACATTTTCAATGTTAACTTGTTGTTGTTCAATAAGTATTATTTCTGGATCATCAATAAATTTTGTTTGTAATATTAATTTTCCTAAATCAAGACATAATGCTTCATCTGAATAAGCATTTATTGGAATAATAATATTTGGTGCATTAAATGTAGCATTTAGATGTAGTTTATATGCTTGATTTTGTATATTTTGTACTTGTTCATAAACAGCATCAATTTGATTTTGAGCAACATCAATTGCTGATTTTGAAATATTCAATATGTCAAGAAATCCCTATATTATTGTTGATTAGATAAAAAAAAAACATTGTGAATATTTTGTAATAATAACATACCATTATTTGATCGACATATTTATAGAGAAATAATATCTTTGCCTTGGCAAAATTAATTTTAACACTACAATCAACATCATCTAGAGCTTTTGTATGTATCTTAGGATAGTTAAAAAGAACCATAGAAACTGATAATAATTCGTTGTCTTCACTTTGTTGTGAAATAATCTAAATAAAATACAAGTATGTATAATTAATCATAGAATCAGTCGATTCATTTAATATCTCCTGAGTTCGACATCAAAAAAAAAAGGGGACATTTAAAACGTATTACAATAGTACGAATTTTAGGAAAAATAGTCGTTTCCCTAAAAGACTTGCTGAACGTGCAAACCATATATATCTGGATGTAATATCTTTTATTGAAGTTCATAGAGAACAATATGGTTTTTTTAAAAAATCAAGCTTAACCTTAGAATATTTTATCTTGAAATATTTCTGTATCAAACCACCTTAAAAAAAAATAGGTAGGTAAATGAGGTGAATAAGAAGAAAGATTGAGAGGTTTAGGATCTGATTATATGGGTAAAATAAACTTCTTTTAAATATTCTTGTATTGGGCGTATAGTTTTTATATCCTTATCATTTGTTAACCTTTATGGAACAATAAACTGCATGTTAAAAAAAAAACGGGGACACAAATGATATATTTGTAATGATTATCCTATAAATCTTGAACAACATTATGCTATTAAGTCCGAGCAAATTTTCTTCTTCTATCATCTTTGTTACAGAATCACTTTTTCAAATGAAACATATTATTTATCATAAAAAACGACGAGATACGAAATTTAAATAGAAGAAATTTTCAATAATCATTACTGTATATATATAGTTCTCTATCAACTCAATGAAATGGCTTTTTTTTTGAAACATGATCTAAAAGATCCTTCTCTCACGTCACAGGCTATGAGACAGATGTTGTTAATATACAATCGCAGACTATATACCAATAAAGTCTCATTATCGGTATGCGAATTAGTTATTGTACTTCTAGAGGATTAAGTCAAAAAAAAAATATGCCCAATAGGATCCTGCAGAGATTGTGTTGAAACCTTTTTATACCTATATTAAGGTCTATCAATTCGGATTCTACGATGAAACAGATTAAATTGTAAATCTTCACTTTTTGAATAACATTTGAAGTTTACCTTTCGAAATCGTGCATCCATATGAGGATCGAACATACAAAAATCGGTAAGAATTAAATTGAGAAATGTTTCATTAGATGTATTATGCATATTAGCTTTGACACCTTTATACACAAAAAAAGAAAGAAACAGATATCATAAGAAAAGTTAGTAAAAAGATCAAACCATGAATGTAAACATCAAACATTTGAGTATCCATCGTTGCAATAACAATATGAAATTCTTCTAAATTAGCTTCAATTTCAAGTGTACTTTCAAGTGATAAATCTTGAATAGAAAATAAAAATCAATCTAATATTCATAAGAATATTCTTACTATTTGTCTTAACAAATTTTTCGATCGTCGACATTCTTTTATTTTCTTGAGAAAATTTTTCAGATAATTGTTTTTTTTCAATGTGTTCTTCAAAAATATCTGTTGGCCATTTTTGCATGAAATTATCTTGAAATTTCATGATAGATAATAATGCTTCTAATTGTAATGTAACAATAAGTTTACTAAAATGTATTCGAATTTTATTTTCCAATCCATCATATTTTGATGATGTAAATAATGGATTATTTGATGATGTATGTAAAATATGTAAACTAACTAATTTTTTAGAATTTATTTTATCAATATTTTGATTTTCTTCATGTTGAGCAGCAAGAAAACGAAGATGTTGATTATCTTTTGTTATGAATTGTTCATGATAAATAATAAAATCATCTAATGATGCTTGAAATTCTATATCAAATGTTTTAATGAATGTTTGTACATAGATTGATATAAATGAAATACGAAGAAATGGATAATCTCTATCTTCTTTTTCTTCTTCAAGAAGAAGATCGATCTAAAATAATGAACGTAAATTTATTTTGATTTATTATCAAAAGAAAAATCTTGAAACTATCGAATATATGAAATACTCGATAAAAAAAAATCTATTTGTGCATTCAATGCATCAATATCTGCAATCATCAATATTGAGAATTAAAAATGGAACAAAATGAACTATTTATAATATCAACCTATTCAAGTTTTATAAAGCTAACATGAATGAAAACTAGTTCTTCTAATGAATATAAAGTGCTCATTTGATAACGACCTATCTTCTTTCACGATTCAGAATTAGAAAGTTCTAGAGGTAAGTTTTTTTGATATGTTATGCAGTTTTTTATTCTCTATCAGATAATATCTTCGAGGCGAAACAGGATTCATCTGTCTCTTATATTATGCTTTTTTTCAATCGAAAAAAAGAATATTTTTAATGGTTTTCATTACCATGACACAATTGTAAAGCAGAATAAGTACGACATTCGGAATCAATGTGAAAAACTATTTTGAATCAAATACTTTTTCAGAGAATTTTTTTCCTAAAATAAATCGATACCCGGAAGATTACTTGGCAAAATTTTGATAAAATATAGCCGTGGGAGACCACAGATGAATTTTTTTATAGGGGAAAAAAAAATTCTCTAAAATGTATTTTATCCCATGTATGTAGTTATTCACATTGATTTTGAATATCGTATTTATTTTGCTTTACAACTGTGACATGATAATGAAAACCACTAAAATTTTTTTTTTTTGTTGAAAAAATATTCTGTAGGAGAACTGTGAATCTCGTTGCATCTCAAAGATACTCTTTATTATTGAATATATTTTTACCATTATATAGAGTATAAAACTTGAGTCGATCGATATAATAAATAGCTCGTTTTATTCAGTGTTTAATTCTCTATATTTTAGTATAATTTATAAAAAATTTGAATCATTTGTTGAAACGAAAACATAGTACAACTTTTACGAGATATTGGCTGATGTTTTTTCTCATAAGGACATGATAATGATAAAAAGTCAATATTGATTAACTTTTGAGAGAAAAGGTATTGGAAATTTCAATTTTGGGATTGCTGATTTCAGATATTTATGTATTGAATGTACAAAAAAGAAAATTTTATCGAGTGTCTCATATACTTGAAGGTCTCATAATGCCTTTTTTTAATTATTACTTGTGAAAGTTTAAAATTAGCTTCGATTTGTGTAAATTGTTCTTCGAATTTATTTTCAATTTTTTGATTTTCATTAGCCAATTTTTCTAAAATTTTTTTCATAGGTGTCATATTTTCAATTGTTTCTAATGTTTGTTGAGTAGTATCAATTAAAGTTGGCGTCATCCATAGTTCAGTTTCATTTTCTATATCTGTTATCGTTCGATATTTCGATTGTGGAAATGGAAGTGATTGAATATGTTTTATAATTTTAAATAAACGCATATCCGAAATTCGTACGCTCACCAATGGAATTTGTCCAGAAATCTTCCATCTAAAAAAAAAATAAAACCATGAAAATAAAACTAAATTTATTTTAAATAAAACATACGCAGGAAAATTAGCATTATCCGAATACAAACATTTAAAAAGATTTATAGAAAGTGTTATTGGTTTAATTAAATGTAAACGAGTAGTTTCTTGTTGACGTGCATTTTGCCAATTTTCATCTGAATAACTAGAGAAATAGTTTTATCGATTCAAAAAAAAAGCAAAGATACAATTTACATTTATTAGCATAAAGTAATTGAAAATTTTTTAATTCTAATTGAAATTGAATGTAATTATCCTAATAGAAAGAAGAAAAAAAAATATATTAAATCAAATCGAAGAATTAAATTTAAAAAAAAATTAGAATTTTACCATTGTTTCTTCGTCATTTTTATTGATCATACTATTTTGTTGCAAAATTAAATTACCCATATCCAAACAAATGGCTGGACAACCACTGAAAGAAAAATTATAAAATCTAAACATTTCAAAAAAGAAAAAAGAAAACAAAATTTACTCATAGTAGACACCATTTTCAGGTAAAATAAAAAAAGGCGATTGTAGATTAATGTGAATATCGAGTACTTTTGTTGTTTCTATATTGTATTTCATAAGTAATATAGATCGATGTTTAACATCAGTATATGTTGTATAAGCTGCTTGTTTAACTCTATAAATAGATAATGATTCGAAGAAAAAAAAACAACGCATCTTTCATATTTAAATTTTACCCTTGCAGATTGCGTTGAGTATCCTGTTCAAAACATTCAATAAGTTTATTGATAGTTGGCTAGAAAGACAAATGTATATTTAATTAAGATTTTGATCTTCTTTAAAAGTTTTAAATATTTACGGCATTGTATTTAACTTCAACTGATTGTGATATGACTTTTATACGATAACCCGAGTCTCTATCTAATGGATTAGTTTCAAATTCAACTTCTAATAATTTTGGTTGTTCTAATTGATTATTTGATAATGTTGATTGAATAATTGGATGAATAAGAACAGGACGATTATCATTTGATAATTCTGATTGTTTCAAATCAGTAGCAATACCGAATACTTGAAATGAACCTAAACTAACAAGAAATCTAAAAGCAAAAATAATTTTTTTTTTTCTTTAAATTAAGATAATAATATAATGATTTACAAAGCAGAAGATGTTGTTGGACGTCGTTTAAATATTATTTCTGTATCAGGTAGAGCAGCACGACTAATAACTCTAAATCTAAAAATTAAAATAGAATAATTTTTTGAAAATATAATTAATTTAGTAAACATACTGTTGATCATTTTCATTGATTTTTGACCAGATATTTAAATCGAGCATAATCAATCGAATCGAAAGATCAATATCAACATACTATATTATGAATATGATATGAATATACAAAAAAAAAAAAAAAAAGAAATTAATAAGTTAATTCTTACATCTTTAGGATAAGTCAATGTTGATGTATCTTCACCTTCATAGCCGATAGTTTCATATAATTTTTCCTTTTCTTCAGCTGATAATATTTTTTCTAGATCAAGTTCTATAATAAAACATAATATAACAGAAATAGTCAGCTTCCTTTTCAAATGAAACTAATTATATCCATAACAGAATTTTACAGAGAAAAGTCTGTTTGAGTTTGGCTTTCTGATCCTTGCTTGTCGAGTTATGAGCGTTTTACTCAAATTTTTTTGTCCTATGAATAAAGAATCGCAAGGAACCCGTATGATCGAATTCCGAACTGAAATATTGATCTTAGATAGGCCTTATAATTACTAGAACCATCCAAAAATTTGAGCTAGCACAAATGTATCTCCATCGAGATATAAGATGGTCATAGGAACGTTCTTCTCTTGCAACACTGCTCAAAACAGAAGTTTTCTCTTAACAAGGATAGCTTCGTGCTGACTCACACTTTTTAGTATTTGTAATGAGTGTAAAGCCTATCTATGGACAAAATTTCAACTCGAAATTCGATCATTCAGATTCTCAGTGATTCTATGCTCAAAAGGCAAAAATCAAGTGCAACACACATAATTCTCTAAGCAAAGACAATAGAACCAAACCAAAATAGACTTCTTCACTACTCATCATAATCGATTGAATGGCAATAGTATCATTGCGTAGTTGAGAATATTTTCTCGTGAGAAATATTTTATACAAACATTAACCAAAGGTAAATTTTTCAATAGATAAAGATCTTATTATATCTTATCAAAGTTAACTATGATCAACTTTTATGAATATACCAGAGATGAGCACAGGACAAGATTTTTCGTCCTGTCCTGCCCTGTCCTGTTAGCCAGCTCTGTCCTGGCGGGCGGCAGTACAGGACAGAAATCAAAATCGCGTCCTGTCCTGTTTTGTCCTGTTGACAATCTCTGTCCTGGCGGGCGGCAGGACAGGACAAAAATCAAAACCGCGTCCTGTCCTGTTTTTGTCCTGTCCTGCTTTGTCCTGCTGACTTTTTCCGTTCCACCCACTGATAGGAGAATAATGAAAACTTTTTCCTAGTGTTTTTTGCTAATTCATTTTATTTTTTTCGAGAGACAGAGAGTCGATCACGATTTCCTAATCTGTCTATCGTTGATCAGGACTGTGCTGATAAGGAATAAGGAGGGCCCACGCCCTCAAATTTTGAAAAGTACTGCTTTGCTATAGTGAAACTGTGCTAGAACGTTTGTTTTGAAATCTTAATGTAAGAACTTTATCCTGAGGAAGAGTGCAGGGGTGTATACTTAGGATACCCGTACCCTTTTTTATTTGGGCACGTCCCTGTCGTTTATCAAAGCAAATATTGATATCATTCATATTATACCTAATTTATTCTTTACTATTCTCAAATACTGGAAATACATTATATATCATCACTTATTTGATAAGTAGGATAAAATATAGTAAAATATTAATTTTTTATCTTGCTGACACATTCATGACAAGAAAAAAAATAGAAAACAATGACCATGATTCGTTGTAATATAATTATTTTATTTTATACTAGATACTGTCTATGAAAAGTAGCAACAGCATAGACTATTATCACAAAAAACAGCTATTTTCATGAATGAATGAACGTATACTATAAAGATTAAAAAAAAATAATATATCCTATCATTCTTTGAAATACGCTATATTTAGTTAGTTTTCCTGAATAACCAAAGAATTTTGACAAATTTATTAATGCTGTTGAGAATTCTTTTTTGTAATATTATATTTCTGTTTCGTATTTAGGTAATTGTTCAATTTTGAGAAATATAATATGTTCGACGATGATGAAACTTTACTAAACCCCATGCTGAATATTTATTTTGAGAGTCAGTAAATAGAAACAAATGAAATACAAAGTAAAATAAAAAACGTTCAAGACGAAAAGAACAAAGAACATTTGTTTGGTGTTGCTTTCTCTTCATATTCTAACGTAAAATTTCTGAATCATCAATGACTACATCTAATTGGCGCTTTTTTTTCAACCAATATTTTAATTAGTGTTATGATTCATCCTCATAGCGATACCTATCAATCACCACATACGTCGACTGTTAAAAAGTGACCGGTCGAAAGTGATAGTTGTTTAACAAATATAAATAACAAAAGAACGAGAAAATTCACACGAGAAATTTTTCTGTCCTGTTCCGTCCTGTTGTAATCGTTATCTTTGTCCTGGCGGGCGGCAGGACAGGACAAAAATCAAAATCACGTCCTGTCCTGTTTTGTCCTGTTGGCAATCTCTGTCCTGGCGGGCGGCAGGACAGGACAAAAATCAAAATCGCGTCCTGTCCTGCAGGACAGGACAGGGCAGGACACCAGGACGCCAGGACCGTCCTGTCCTGTGCTCATCTCTGGAATATACTAACTAGCTGAAAAGCAAGTGAATGAACCATAGAGTTCTATATCTTTACATTTACTTGTCTATAAATCATTTTAATACGAAAAAGCTGTTAGCAGAATCTCTGTCGAATGTGACTTGCTTGCTCAGAAATGGTTGAATATGACGCAGAAAAACATTTTAAAGAAAAAAAATGAAGGGATTGGAGACAGTAGATAGAAGAAAATTTTGGCAAAATTCAGAACATTTTGGATATTGAATGCAGATGGATTGCTTATTTTACGAGACTAGCCTTTCGGACGACACTGTAGAAAAAATAAAATTGTTTTTTTTTGCATAAATTAAACATGCCAATTAAAAAAATATTCCTTATCATTGTATAGAGCTCCATTTTGAGATTCAGAAAATGTACTTAATTTGTCTGTCGAACAGCTTGATTTTATCCGATATCAATTTCTCTGATGACATCGTGATTTTCCGGCTAAGTTTTTGGCAACTAATTTTCCAATTTCTTTAGAATGTGATTTTCATTTTTAACTAAATGTCCGCCTAGATGCATAATGTAGTGGAGAGAAGCATTGCTAAGGTGTCTGTGAGAGGAAGATGAAGGATGTCGAAATTTTTACTCCTATATTTCTACACTCCTTTTTGATCATGTTTCACAAAATGTCAACAGATATTAATTCAATTTGGTAGATTTCTAACCTGGATCAGTTTGACTTGATTTGTTATTCCACCAATTGGAAAAGTTCTCCAACAAAGTCTTTGGTTTTTGTTCTTTTTTCTTTCTTGCCTAAAAAAGAAAAGATCTTTTTTTTTGTTTTGAAAGCTAGATAGATATTTAATAAAAGATGACAAACTTCAAGTTGAGCACGTTGACGAATATATGTTAAATTGAATACATCGAGTTTTTTTTCTAATTCCTACAATTTTTGACATATAATTCTTGATAACAAAAAATCAAAATTATTTCTTTTACTTCAGTACGTTGTTTCTGTTCATCAGTTATTTTTCCTGTAAGTTCTTGTACATAAATATAACGATATTCACGACAATATTCTAAATGTTTTTTTATATTTTCCCATTTATAACATTCTAAACGAGGTTTAATTTTTTCATTCACAATTGCATTGTAAGCAAATATCCATCTAAATTAATTAGATATTATTTTTCTAATATTCATATAATATTAAACTATAATACTTTTCTATTGTTTTATCGAATTTCTGTGGTCGATATTTAATATATTTTAATTTTGCAGTAATATGACCTTGAAATTCGAGTAAATCAAGTATATCCAAATACTAATTATAAAATAAAAAATATATCTTTTTTTTGTTTTTGTTTTGTATTTCCTATTGAATTAACCTGAGCACGATTTAAATTTAAACTAATATGTCCTAAATCGATGGTTATATAAAACATAGGTCTTTCGAATTTTTGTTGACGAGGTTTCATTGTCATGATTAATTTAGTTTTAACATTGAATGGTCGAAAGACTAAAAAAACAAAAATTATATATTCGATAGAAACATTAAATATAAAATTTGTTTACTAACTATATGTCATATCTTTTGATACTTGATCAGTATCAACAGCAATTTTTGTTTGTAAATTTTTCTAAATTGAAAATAGATTTTGCAAAATTGAAATAGATTAACCTACAATGATTTCATTTCTTGGTAAATTTGAATTTGATTTAATATTTGTATTCCAATAGATTGACAAAGCATTCAATTCGCCAAGCTAGAAACCCGCCCGCCCAAAAAAAGTTTTTATTAGTTTACTTTAAAAAATACGATTCCGGCCCTTCGCCAATAGGACTTTTCGCCAACTGTCGTAGAATAATATGCATGCAGTATACACGTGAAAACTATGTCTAATCTTATTGACATGTATTTTGTTACTCACACTCATTTATGTAATTGATTGAAATCTATGTGATTAATGACAAAAACACACTCGTATTGACGAGTTTGTTGGTTTTTTGCCAATATTGACAAAAGTCCTATTGACGAACATCCGACAATCCTTAATCATACTTTGTAAATAACTGGACTATTTTCTTTGATTATTGTTGGTATCCATTCTTTATTAGTTGTCTAGAAATGTACAATAAATAAAATCATATATTCAAGTTTTTCTTTTTCTTTTGAAATCTATGTTTTACTTGAAATGTAATATAATTAAGTGTGATACCAAATGCAAATGGATGATTAGGTTTTGTTGTTTTATCTTCATAAACAATATGAATATTATGAATTAATAATTCAAGATTTTGCATAATTTGTAATTTCATTCGTGCACTAAATGTATCATTATCTTTTTCAATATTGTTTATATCCTCTTTAAAAGAAAAAGAAAATTATATGGTTAAACTATTTTTTTTCTAAATTTACTAAAAGCTTCTTTGTCTTGACGAAGTTTTTCGATTTTATTAACTTCTTTCATTTTAGCTTCATGTTGTTCTTTTTCATCTTGTTTAGCATTGTATTCAATTTCTATTAATAAATACAGTCAATGATGATAATGAAAACGACAAAGAACAAACCGATTTTCGGTATAACATGTACATAGAGTCCATCGATAGTGAGTTTTGTTGGATGTGTATATAAATTTTTCCATGGAATTTGAAGTGCAAGTTTTTCTAAAACAAAAGAAGAACTAAAACAAGATATTTCAAATATATAAATCTAACTAAGATATCCAATAGTTATCGTTATTGGAAGATTAAGATCAGCCTAAGATTAATATAAATGTAAAATATTTAATTTTAACAAAAAGAAAATAATTTACAAGAGCATTTGGTTTTAGATAAAGATTTTCTAATATAACATTACCTAGAAATAATTCGTTGAAAAAAAAATTTTCTATAGTCAATAACATAATACATACCACTCCATATATCAACTTTTAACTTTTTATAATCCAAATTTTCAATATAATCACTTAAATATTTGTCCAATAGATGGACAACGAACTTTTCGAATACCATTCTTGTTCAACGTTTATAAAAATAACGACTTAATAATTAATATAAATAAATTTTATCTGAAAGAAGTGGAATATATATATCTATATGTTTTTTTTTCCTCAGTAGTTTAACACTTACAAATTGGAGATAATGCATATGAGTTACTTTCGAAAATTGTGAAGATTTTTTACCTAATTGTCTGTTGCCTATGATAACCAAGATAAGAAAATCGTCTTGTTACATGTGTAACTAAGAATAAAGGTAATCATGAGTTTATTTTTAACGATAACAAAAAAAAATGGAAAAGAACTTGTGACCGTAAGATAAGACATTAAATCTAATATGAGCTTTTTTTTCTCGTGATAAAAAGATATTAACGACTTTATCCTACATTTATGCATCTTGTTATTTTTCATTTTGTCAGCAGTATAAAAACGTTGTCAACTGACCAATCACTTTTTCATCGAAAGCAAGTGAATTGCAGGTTATCGATCATGTTGATTTTGGATATGACTATAAGAAATCTTCTTAGGTCCTTATGAGTTGGCTTTCTAGAAAATCGATTGTCCAGACTTACAAACTTTCCGTCAAAAATCTTTTTCTTTTTTTGATCTTTCTCGAGATTATGATGCATATCAACATTTTAATGTGAAAATCTGCATGATGATATTGTTTTACTTAAAACTCGTTCTTGGAAAATATAAAAACTTATTGTTTTCTAGACAATTCGATATGTTCTATAATCTGAGCAGATCCAAAACGGTTTTCACAAAATATTTGTCAGTCTAGAAAACCGGTTTTCTAGAAAAATAGTACATAACAATCTATGGGGATCGCTTGTAGTCATATGCAGAATCCACATTGTTGATAACTTATACTTCAGCAGTTTTTGGTGAGAAAACAATTGATTGGTTGAAAACGTTAGTTCATTAAACATTGATGACAAGCACGCATTTCCTATACGAGATATATCGATTTGTAAAATTTTCCTCAACGAATCAAGAGGAAAAAATAAAGTATCAGTTATGAAAATCAGTGAAATTATCAACAATCTAATGATTTAATTATCAATGAAAATTAATTATTATAATCAGGCAACATTATTATATAAGTTTTTTGTTTTGTAGAAAACTTTTGAGTTTCTACAACATTTTATACTTGAATAGTTGATTCATTATTGCTTGAAATCAATCTTTTTTTACATCCTTTCAACTTGAATACAAGGTGCACTAGTAAACATTGATAGTAGTTAATCAACTAGATTCAAAAAATTTGAACTCATCAGACTCTTTTTGATGTACTAATATTCATGCCATTAAACGAAACCTGATTTCGAACATGTGTATCTACAGATTCACATTTAATTGATATTGTGTCACATTATTTCTTTCTTCAATTTCTACAAAGAATTTTCTTTTTTTATTCTGTAAATGTTCATCAAAGCAAATGATTTAAAATCTGAAGAGAAAGTTTAGTTAAAGAAAGTCCATCAGAATATATGTATCAGACATTGCACTATTGACGAAGAACTATTGCATAGTATGTTTCTTCAATTGACCGAAAATGGCAGAGTATTATCGATGCTGCAGCAGAATAGCTTATGCAACGACTCTTGACTCCCAAACATTCGCTTGGCATTCGATCGACGATCGGATTATCACAATAGTGAATTGGCATTGTCAGTAGATGAATCACATGTGGCTTGAATGTTTAAAAGTTGTTCAGTTGTCAGAATGATCTCATTGCCTTTACGTGCACTAACATCCAAGCCATAGTGATATTCTAGTTTTGTACGAAACTCTTCGACATGTGGCCACGATGGAAATAGAAGCGTCTGCCGATAAATCTCTTGAATACCGTTCGATAAAGCTTGATCACGCATTCGACGCAATTCAACTTGAGTTAAAGTACTCAATATATGTTCCCACTGTTTAATCCAGATGCGATCTGTCCATTCGTGAAAAATTCCGTCTCGTACACATAATTTCGTATTCCAACGGTCGATCCATCGACACAGAAACATTTGTGATACTGATCGGAAATAATGGCCGGCATCTAAATATCAAACTGATAGATCAATCCTATCAAAAGAAATCAACACACTTACGTGCAATATAATGTGGAAATCGTTGCAATCCGTATTCTTCGGGTTTAATGTAGATGCGATCACCTTGATACTGAGAATGAATTGGGTTAGACAAACTTTTCAATTTACCGAATAAGATATGACCGAAATAATTTGGTAGACATCCATGCCGAATATCTGCACCACTAAAAGACACAAATCGATATAGGAATTAGCATAGTGATGGATTACGATACATACTAAGCTGGATAATCATACCATCGTTCATATTTGGTCCCACGTTCATGAAAATGAGACGATTCATCACCGCGTAAATAGATGAAAGGCAATGGGATCGAGTATTGATGACCTGAGAATCTTTGCCATATCGATACTATCGCATCGCGAGCAAAATGTCGAAGACGAAGAATATAACCCGAACGATGTTCGTCACTGTGAATTTGCATATTTTTGGCCATCATTAGTCGAGAAAAAAGACGTTGAGTCGAATCATAGAGAACGAATGTACCTTAAAGAGAAAATTCTATCTTTTCTATAATAAAAGATTCACATTGAATCCTCGATAAATCTTCTAAAGTATTAGACTTAAGACTCTTGATAAAGTTTTTCTTCTCTAATGAAAAATATCACGATTTTATCACACTGCTATTTCCTTTTATTTATACTTGAATCGGAAAGCTATTTTGTGAAGAACATAAGTTTTGTTTTTCTTAGCTACTGCTTATCATCACACAACTGACCTGATGAAAATTGAACCGGTTGATTATTAACAGTGGCTTGTTGAAAGAAGAAATGGATTAATGAACACATATTGTCTTCGTTGATAAGTTTGAATGAGTCATTGTCATGGATCAGATGATGAAAAAATATCCGACCTAGATTGGCTTTGGTTGGATCAACGAACATAGAAGAATGATAACTGTCGACATTGTTTGATAAATCAATACCATAATGCTTAACTTCGATTATCTCCACTTTAGTCATTGTTTGATGACATAACCAGATCAACAATATTACGAAAGAACAATGTACGGCCCTACGTCGACCTGGAATTTTGTTTTTCATTTTAATCGATCGATCCCGGACTGATGAGAGCAACTAGAAACGAAAAGACACGTGAAAAGTGACGAAATAAAGAAAACTCGAAAATTAATGAATAAAATGACGCAATTTTACACACTTATGAGTCATGATGACTACTGAAAGACAAGCAAAATAACAGATTGATATTTTTCTTTTCTGAATAATTCGTGAGTTTTTGACACAAAAATCTATTATTAAGGATATATTAACAATGGGTTTAGTTTGCTGTTAGATTAATCGAGAAAAGAAAAAATGAATCAGAAACAAATTTTACCATGTATAAAATGTGGCACGCCGTCGAATAGTCCAAAGCAAAAAAATGATAAGAAGACTGAAGAATGGCAATTTATATAGAAAACTGGGTGTGTGTCGATAAAAAAAAAACAAAGAGAAAGAAACAAATTCGGTACGATTTCTCGTTTTTCTGTTCTGACGTAAGGAGGAGAACGAGCGAGAGTCAACGAACTCTGATAGTGAATCAATCTAAGTATACCCTTCAACCTATATGATGATTCATCACATATTTTGCGTTCTTATTATAAACGTGAATCGTACCATCCTATCGTCATCATAGATTTTGAATTCGTTTCGCCGTCGTGTTCTTTTCAAGAAACTTCTAGTCAATTTGTACTCTTCCAGTTCAGAAAATAAAGAGAAACATTGATCGTTAAAAAACGAATTATTTTCTTTGTATAAGAATAGACAAATTGTTTATCACTTTTCTAAATAATATTTTTTCAGAAATTATTCTAATGACAAAGTCCAATGAAACGGACATGGTTTCGAGCATTTTAGAATTTGAAATACTTCCACCGACACTGCTACAGTTTTATCTGGCTTATTCAATCATACTCGTTCGTACACGATCATTTTCTAATCAATTACGATAGAAAACGACTGCTGTTAACGGTGATCATTGGCAGCGATCGTAAACAATAACCGCCGAGAATCGGTGGTAACGGATAGCATAACAATACGGTGACTGTAACACTATTCGACTAGTATCAAACGACATTGTATGCGACAACTGTAAAAAGTTTAATAAACGATTATATATACTCACGAGCAGCTATAGACGTCGCGCTATATAACAATACTTGGATACAGTGTAGGTATGGTAATGTGCACGAGTCTCACAAGGATGACCTATACTATTTGATTTGCGATGAAAAATGTCTTTAAAGACCTTTTCTTACACTGCTCTATTAGACTCAAATCGACAGCGATAATATGAATTAATTTAAACGTTTCATGCTACCATCAACACGAATAATGCAGGAGAATCTTGTTTTTATCCGATTTTTACTTAACGAGAAGAAAGAAGATTCGAACATATTTTCTGCAAACGTGCAAAGACAGCGGTTATTTCGAGTAAGGTGCATCTGTATTTTTCCATGATCTCTACTGAGAAAAAATGTGACTTTTAACACGAATAAGTAGGTTCCATAGGGAACGTCCAACTGAATAAAACTATGTCATTCTTGGTTAATATACATGAGTCAATCAACTAAACTAAGGTAAAAACTTTAATTGGTTAAAAAAGTTCTCAAAAAAGACTTTGAGTTAATTGTCTTGTAATTCTTTTTGAAACATATTCTAGCAACAAACAATGCTCGTCGTTACGACTGGCTTGATCCTCGACTGATTTGATGATGATGATATTGAAGAATATATTAAAAGTGGTTGGTAAAAAACAAAAGAAAAGAATTCAATCGATTACGATTGTTGACTTTTTTCATTTCCGTAAAGAAGAAAATGAACTTAATAACTTCTATATGTGTGCATTGTAACTTGTTTTATCTGTTGCTCTTTTCGATCGTTAAAATTATTTCTTTTCTCTTTGTATCTTTCGAATGTATTACTGTGATGTAATTTTCTGTGTGTCTATATTAAATGGATAAAATCTCAAAATGAAGAAAATTAAGACAAAAGAGATTTTTTTACTGTATCATTTTATCATGCATTAAATAAATTCTCTGTTTCATGATCATCAATTTTGTTATTTCGAAGATTTAGTGTGATGATTCTGTATAGTACATAATATAGTTATATATAAATTCGATGTGTTAAGAAATTATTTGAATGTATTTATTTGCAGAATGAATCAAATATAGTGTTCTTTTGAGTATCAATTTTGTTCCGTCTAAGACTGAACGTAGTCAATAGTATATATTGAATGATCATTATCTTTAATGTTGATTGTCTTGTTCAAAAATGTCAATATCTGTAGAGAGTGAAATAATTATTAGCTATAAATTTTCATTTTTGAAAACTGATTTGATCGGTCCTAAAATTTAGTATCGTAGTTAAGTATCAAAATTTGGTTATCAAGAAAGATTTGTAAGCAATGAAGAGTATTATTGTCTGATTAATATTAGTTAGTTTCTAATGCATTAGAGAGATTTATTATTATTATTATTATTTTAGAACCAATTAAGTTTTCTTTCCGGATTCAATGACGTAAATTTGTCTTACTGTATTATTTATAAATATATTAGATAGATAGAGAAGTAGTGAAATTATTTTACTATTTGATTGTTTTCACGATTGAATGAAATGAAAATGAATAGCAGATAATAAAAAATTGAATACGATATTGAAAGGAATCAACACATTTTGACTATATACCTTATATAGAGCAATCAATATCGTCAGTTCTTAGGTGAAATATAGAACATCTCAACATGAGATAGATAAGAGAAGAAGTTAATCCAATTTTTAATCTTATTATACAAAAAATAGTTTTTGTACTCTTTCAATATCGACATTATTCTTAAAGAGAATCAATTGTATGATTTTTGTTAGTTAATAAGATTAGATATATTCGAATCAAATTAAGGCTTGCGCTTGGAAACTAATAAATTTAAAATAGAGGCTATTGTTGGTGTATCTGGGCTGAGATATTCGAGTTTTAAGATATTTATAATGTGTGTAACGTACTTACAAAATAAAATTTCAGCAGATTTTTTTGTCATTTTTGGATAGAGGGTATGGGTATGAATGAATATGACTAAATAGAAGACATGTACCCACATCCATCATTCGAAATTTGTCATTTTCTTTTTGACGAGTTATATTTTATAACTAAAAATGATTTATGTGGCTATGTTTTTCGTTTTACTTCTAAGCATCGAATGAACTAAGAAAGAACACGTTGAGTACTGTTACACATGTGGAATTTTGTCTAAACAGTTGTCATTCCGACTCAAATGAATCTGTTTGTATCGGCCAATAAATATCTTGGGCCTTTTTCTAGTAACTCTATGCTTCATTTGTAAACATGGTGACTCTGGAGACCAGATGACTTTTCTGAGACATCTAATAAGTGTATTTTAAATGAAAAATTAATTACGAGAAACTATTTAAATCTTATTCGTGGAGTTTTGAAAAAAAGAAGATAAAATAATTCTTGCATAGAATTATTCGCTTGCTTGTTAAAACATCAAAAATCGAAAAACAAAGCCATTTTTTATTTTACAAGATCGATTAGATTTGCATTAGTTTTGTTTACATATTACCATTATTTTCTTCTTTATTAATTAGACACATAATATACATTTTCTATGGATTGACTTTTTTTGCTCATTCATTTTTAGTTGGGATTGTCATCATATAGTAAGTGAAATAGCTGATCGTCGAATGAATTGCAAATGTGCTTCAGCTGAATGTCGTCGTCGAGTTGTCTAATCTTTGGTTATAATTAAATAAAAAAAAACAGGTTTTGAAATAAATCTCTAGAAAATCTTCTTAACCTTTTAATTGAAGTGATTTATCTTGGTTTCAATATTTTAATACAGAATTAAGTGAAGAACCAATGTTAGCTTATTTTTATCAAATAGGAAATTCTTCTTCGAATTAAAATATTCAAGAATAACATCAGAAAACGTTTT